GCGAAGAGAGAGAGAGAGAGAGAGAGAGAGAGAGTATGAATGAAAAGTATTGTGCATTTTTTGTTGATAACTAAAACTAAATTAAAAAATTTTTGCATTAAAATTGCACAAAACATAAATAACTTGTATTAATGTTTGACTGTATTTATCATTGATTTGTATTGAAAGGGTACTCAAAATACAGTATTAATAATGAGTCGTAATTTACGAACGACTAAAAACAATTTTGTATTGAAAACATGTAAATCACGTGTTGTTTTGTTTTGCTATTAATAACAAAAACTATTTATTAATTGATTTTGACTTGAATTAGACGTTTGTGTTGACACAATTAGTAATGTCTTTGTGAGTGTTGTCTTCACATTCTTCCGGATGTCATCGAGTGATAGGTTTGAATGGGTTGTGACAAACCATGTCTTCAATTGTAACTAATGTTTGTGTCTTTCAAACAATATATCTATTTTTATCATTCAATATCTAGCGATACAAATAATGGCACCGAAATTGCGGACATAATACCGATGGTAAACACAGGCCAAACACTTCCACCGATACGGAGGGGTCAACAATTGGTCACAAATTCACTTGTGGACAACCCGTGCCTTAAGTACTGTTTTAATCACATTATAATTAAAACTCAAATTAATTTCCACTCATTTCTCACAAACAGTACTATTAATACAAATACTGGTCACACGTCGGCCACCGCTAAACTCTTTCAGACTAGAGGCCAAACTGTCGTTGATTTGCCGCCAACTCATGTGTGCCGTATTGACGGCTGTGGTCTCGAGTTTTACATTGAATACACTCTAATCGCACACCAGAGGGATGTCCACAAGACAACTGAGCCAACCGTTCACTTCTTGTACGACACGAGTGGTGTCGACGGCAGTGATAGCGCCGTTGGTTTAGGAGTCGGTTGTGCTAACCCGATGCCATCCATGAGTGCAAACATTACCACAAAACATATGCAACGAAACGGGAACTCAAGAAACACCGCCTGACTGTCCACTAGTCGGACGGCAAAGAGTCCGGCTGTGCGCACAACGGCTGCGGCCTATCGTTTGCCCCAATACCGGATCTGAAGAGACACCAACTGTCTGTCCACTCGGCCACAGGTCGACAGTATAGGTGCGAATCCTGTGCAATACATATCACAGCAAACAAAGGTATGATAAGCATAGGCTGACTGTCCATTCAACGGCGGCGGCCACTGAAACTGTCCACAAGACTACGGCTCAAGAGATTCACTTTAGGTACGAAAAGATTGGTGTAAACAGCGATAGACCCATAGAGACCACGACTGTCCTACCGGTGCAGTCAATCTCTGCCACCATTCATTCAGACAACAGGTATATTATAGCCATTGATTTAAGATTTTTATTAATTATGATTTTATTTACATTTAAATATACAGTGATATGGACTCTGATCTCGAAGTGATAAACATTATACCGGAACCCAAACCCACCGTCCATACAGTGTCGGTGCGACCGATCACTGGCCACACATCAAAACGCTTACTAATTGAGTAATGTTTATAAAATATTTATTATAACAAATAACACATTAATTTTGATATATTTTTTACCACAATTAGTATCACAAATACGAGTAACTATTTTAGTGATGAAACCAGTGGTCACACAAATAGTTACTTATGCGATGTCGAGGGTTGCGGCGCTGTATTTGTCTGGAAATATGATCTCGATCTGCATCAGGCGATTGCCCACAAAATGGCTGTTCGTCGGGCGCTTCCGTACAGTCAATGCAAGCACTTGTTTGATAGAGTAGACCAATGGGCGGACCATAAGCTCACCCGGCATCGGGTGTCTGTTCATACATGCGATAAGTGTTCTATAGAGTGTGATACTCGACGCCAACTGCTTGACCATCAATACGATGTCCATTCGTAGCCGATGCCCAACCCGTTTACGTGCGATGAATGAGACCAACAGTTTGTCACTTATAAGAAGCTGAGCCGCCATCAGATGTCTGTCCACTCGCTATCGGCAACTATTTCGCCGTATTTTGCGGTTTAAGTCATATGAGAGTTAATGAAAAGCATTTATTTTTAATGAATTTAAATGAAAATTAATAATTTTTATATTATTTGAATAGAATTTATTTATATTTTTATATTTAATTGAAAATAATTTATTTTATAATTTAATTAATTTGATAACAATTTTTCATTTGTATCTTAAAAACAGAGAATTGTATTTTAAAAATTAATTACTAATTATATCTAAAAAACAATTTTTACAATTAATAAATAATTATAAACAGCAATGAAATGTGAGAAAAATAATTGTAATAATTATGAGATAAAACTGAAGCCATTGTTATTATCGTCGTCGTCGTCGCCATCGCTGTCCGAGTCGTAAATGTCTTCGGAGCCAAAGTCGGAACCGCTCTCCCCGTCGCCGAACTCTTCGGCCACATTACCGATCAGATCGACAACAACATCGACGGCCACGTCGTCAACCGCTCCACTGCCGAGATTCAGACCGCCATAGGCTCCGACACCGTAACCGCCGTCGTCGGCCATCTCTTCGGGAACCGCTTCGTCGCCATCCGCAAGAGCGCCTTTGGCCTCCGCTTCCGCGTCGTCCTCAGCCCAGTAGACGGCGTCCTCCTGGGCCTCGGCGCGGAGTGTCTCCAGTGCCCGGAGCTCGTCCAAAACGGACAGCCGACGGGCCATTCCAGCCGAACTCCAATCAAACCACAGGCTGGCCACCGCTCGGAAGAACCGGTCGGTCGGGCCCCTGAAGAACTCGTTTGTCGTCTCAAAGCCATTGGTTCCTAAAAACATTGGATGTGCAGCTATGGATACATACTAAGGAGTGGGTTATATACCGGGAAATGGCCGGCCGACGGCCATCAGTTGGCACTTAACGCAATCAAATGAACGGTTTCCGAAGTACGCCTCACAGCGATACCTCACGGCACAGACCTTACAGGTCAAAGAGTGGTCACACCCGACGACCGGGACCAGTGCCGGGTGCTGGACCACCATTGGCCGCCACGAATAGCACAGCAAACAGAACCTAAAAACCATTTAAATAACAATTGAATAACAATTTAAAAACAATGTGTTGTTTAGCTAATGACTGACAGCACACGACTGACCAAATGATAGCCTCTAAACAAGGATTCAATCATCGGGGCTATCTTAGTGCTGCAAATTTGGAAAATTTTCACTCACGCTCACACACTCTAACTTTTTATTTATATGTTATTTAGATATAGAAATAGGCCATATATTCTGGCCATAGAATCAAGTATACAATAAAATATCATTTGTATTAAGTTTATATAGAATTGACCAATACCCATTAACACAATGTGCGTGAGTGTGACACATTTAGCAAGACTAGTCTACTTATAGTCTGATTGATGAACCTTAAGTGTCATCACAAACACCACAAACAGACGATCACATTGTAGTGATCAAAGTGTGAAACCAATGGTGTATTCAATGCTTACTATAATTAGTGCTATGAATGGTATGCATGCCTTATAACCCATTTAATGACTGATTAGTCAACATTTTGGTCAAAGTTATCACAAATTGGTTTTAATTATGTTTCAAACAGACAGTTATTAACAGTAATTGCCTTTTTTTGCGATTAACTTGTATTTAAATAAATTGTTTATAACTTTTAAATTTAAATAATAACATCAAAGCGCTCGCGAGATATGCATAAAAGTAGATATAAATAATTAATTGAAACCATTATTATAACTGTATTATAAAACTGAAAATCATTTACAATTACAACAAAACATTAGCCTAACTGTCATTTATTACAATTACTTAATCATTAATTTTAATCAAATCAAAATTATACGAATGAAATCAATTAAGTCATAATTATTTAACTTTAAAACTAAATAAGTGTTTAATTTAATCGTCTATAATGTGTTCAAATGGGAAATCATATAACATTAACCGCACGGATATACCCGAACCGAGGATCGGCCGACTATACGGTTTCTACTCCTATGCCTATAGACTTCAACTCCAGCCCATACACGAGCTTTTAATGCCGATGTTTGGCCACCTGTCCCACCAATCAGTTCCCAAACAAACTCAAGACCCAATGAAAGACAATCGGACGACTGGTCGGCGGCCATCGAGGGGTGCGAACCGCGACCCCCGTATCGGCCGAACCACTGGTATATACGCCAGGCTTTCAATCAAAACGCAGCCACCGGTCGGTGGTGTCCACAAAAGGGACCGACAGTCGGACGCCTCCCAATCGCCTCCGCCTAAACGCCCAAAGAATAAACCACTGAACAGTTATGCCGGCAAATACTTGTGTCCATCGGATCGCCGTATGGATGGCGCTAACGATCTGCCCGATGGCTATGAGATAGTGGACGAGTGGCCACCCCGACCGCAGCCGCACCACAGATACGGCACTCATTATAACACAAAATTATAATAATTTTATTGAATTCAATCATTAAATTGTTTCCACAAAATGTAACGCAAATAAAACATAGTTTTGTAATTAGTTTTGTATTGAGGTTATTTGTTTTACACATAAATGTTTGATTTTTATGGCATTAATTGTTTTATAGATATTAGTGCTGTTTATATTCATATAAAAGTACTGTATTTTAAATGAGATCCAAAAGTTTAATTATAATTAAACCGTATTGCAATAAATTATATTTATATTAATTATAGGCATATTTAAACTTAATTATCGTATAATATTTACGTATATAAACAAAATTAATAAAAACTTATTATAAATGCAATTTAAAAATTAATATTCATTATAAAAAAATTGACAATTTTAATAACAATGGCAATTTAACTTATTTACAAATGAACACAACTTTAATGACAATCATTTACATTACAAACAAAAGGTTTTCTTCACAAACTCTAATTGTCTTTAAATGAATATTCTTCTTGTGTTTAATTAAATCTTTAATTCGTTTAAAATACTATTACAATCATTGACATCACATTTAAATAGGGTTTTTACTCGAATGACCATAACGTTTGGCTGTCGTTGTCTTCGGTGGCCACCACTTCAGCTCTAAATCCGGTTAAAAAGTACACAAAGATTACTACAATTTATGAACAAATCAATTGTTTTTATCGCTTGTTTATAATATTACACAAAATATGACATCAAAACCACATTAAAACTCAAATTACTTATTAAAACATTGATTATTTTATTAATTATATTTATATTTCTAATAAACGGCACAATAATTATACAACATTTAAGCGATTGATTGGCATTTTATGTAAACGTTTGGATAAAAAAATCGCATTCAAAAAGTAAACACAATTTGGTTGTAAATTGTGATCACTTTCGGCACTCAAACCATATATCAATTAAAAATTCAATTAACTAATTGAAAAACACTTTAATTTAAATACAAAATCAAATCAATATTTTCTATGAACTGAAACTAAACAGCACTTAAAGCAATTCAATGAACGAAACACTCATTAATTATAATCCAATTGTCAAACAATAAATTAAACAAATTTTGATTTCATTTGAAATGATGTGAAACTGAATGCAAACCTATAGTGAATTTAACGGCTATTGTAGTCAACGCTGTTTATCTACTATTAATGTCAGTCAAACAGTGCTTCACATACTCTGTGATTGGCATATCATGAATTGGTTTAAAGTCTAATAAATCACTTATTGATTGGTCGATACAATAAATGACACCCAATTTAAAATGTATTCATTGATTATAAATATAATAAACTAGATCTCAACCACTAATTACAATAAAAGTCTCTTATTATAAAGTTTAAAACTTAATGCAATGGAACACTTTCACAAACAATAAGTTGGGTGCCATAAATACAGCGTTTATTGTAACGTTGTTTACGAATTAAATTATAGCTTTGTTAGTGTTAGTGGTACTGCTGTGTAGTGTAACATTGTTTAAGTTAGGGAAAATCACTCCCTAATACACTCCTATGTTAAAGCAAAACATGGTCTTAATTATTATATTTGCTTTCATGTTTGAAAGCTTTCCATTGAAATATAATGTAAATTTGTCCAAAAATATAAGAGTAAAATTCATATTTTGTATTACTTTTGTCTATTTTTGTCTTCAAAAATGTCCAAATTTTGTACTTTAAAAATATTTAATGCTGATTTTTGGACATTTATAAATGTGATTTTAGGACATGTTCAAAATTCCAACATATATTGTTCATTTTTGTAAAATATAAATAACATTTGTGTTAAATTTATGTCCATTTTTGTAAGCTTTCCATAGAAATATAATGTAATTTTTGTCCAAAAATATAAGAGTAAAATTCATATTTTGTATTACTTTTGTCTATTTTTGTCTTCAAAAATGTCCAAATTTTGTACTTTAAAAATATTTAATGCTGATTTTTGGACATTTATAAATGGGATTTTAGGACATGTTCAAAATTGTAAAATTTAAAATTCGTTTTTGTAATATTTAAAATGAAAATTGTTCATATATAGTATGAATATGTGCGAATTTATAGAATAATTTTTATAAATGAGTATTAAATCAAAATTAAC